ATCAATACATAGTATAAAACAAAGTCGCTTTCGCTGTATGTCCGTATGTATGCTTAGATCTTTAAAACTACGCAACGGATTTTGATGCGGTTTTTTTTAATAGATAGAGTGATTCTTAAGGAAGGTTTGTATGCATAATACATGCAATATGCATATTGCACCCGTGCGAAGCCGGGGCGGGTCGCTAGTAAATCATAATTTTTGTTCTTGACTAGCTGTTTTCCGCGACTTCGTCCGCGTAAAATATGAATTTTAGAACATAACTGTTTATTTTTATTTCAATATCCAAAATAAATGTAGCCTATGTTACTTACTCCTTAGTACATCAGCTACCTGCAAATAAAAGTCTTGCAAAATCGGTCCAGCCATTTCAGAGATTAGCCAGTACACGCGGCTACGCATCGAGCTTTACATAACCAGTATAAACTGAACGTTAAATGTGCGGAAAGATGATGCGACGCGACACCAGGATAAACTGGTTTTGATATGTGGCCGCGTGTACAAACAGACAGACAGACATAAAAATGCATGTAGTAAATAGCGGTTATCTTAACTCGTCGAGTACCGTCATTATAGACACAATTATAGAACAATAGGTTGCGGTCACCGGTGACCGCTCGGTGTTTGACAGTTTAATATTATAAACAGACGCTCCAATTTTATTTATTTGTATAGCATTTGCATCAAACGAGTATCATGTCAGTCACCGGTGCCTGACACGGGTGGAGATGTGACTTTCACCACTTTAAATTGGGCCGATAAAGTGTTAAATGACTGCCTGACTACCCCCTGCTTACCCCTTAATAATACCGCGGAGAACTTAACGGGTTACCGGAGCTCCGGCTCGACGTGCAGGAGAAGGAACGGAGTGGTTTTTAGTCAGTAAGAGTCTGACACTCCCTCCCACCTCACCCAGGCGGGAGCAGTCATTCGATGATTTTTCCCCCCTTAAAAAAATCCCTAATAATAGTCCTAGACTGCATCGTTGGCCGAGTGGTCGCAAGTGCGACTGTCGGGCAAGGGGTCTCATGTTCGATTCCGAGGTCAGGCAAAGTATTACTGGGTTTTAAAAAAAATCTCAGTAGTAGCACGGAGTCTGGAAATGTGCCCGGTATATGGCAATAGGCTCACCTTCTAATACATGGGACTCAACATAAATAGTGAAAAGTGGGTGTTACATTGTACAGTGGCATAATGTGCACCTCTGCCTGTCCCTTCGGGGATAATTAGGCGTGATGTGTTATAAATGTTATAATAGTCCTATTTATATAATTCCAGATCTGTTTCAACCACGCTCAGTACTGCGAGGAGTGGATGTTGCCCACCGAGGAGGATACCACGTGGACACACGAGATGGAGGCCGAATATGTCAAGGTATGTAGTTGACTAGGGTGCATTTCTTCATGGGATATGGGGCAAAACAGCAGATAGATCAGATTTAACTGTGGAAGAGCCATGCCGAGCCGGAAACAGCCGTGAAGCAACGCTTGCGTTGTGTTTCGTCGTGTGATTGAGGTTTCAGGTGGCCCAATTACACGCCCCTCCCTTCCCCAATCCCTGAAAATCAAAGTCAAAGTCGAAATCATTTATTTCAATTAGACCAGGAAGGCACTTTTGATCGTCAACAAAAAAAAATTAGAAGTGAAGCTAGTTAGACTGCCTCATTGGCCGAGTGGTCGCAAGTGCGACTGCCGGGCAAGGGGTCTCGGGTTCGATTTCCGGGTCGGTCGAAGTATTACTGAGTTTTTTTTGTAATCTGAGCAGTAGCACGGAGTCTGGAATTGTGGCCGGTATATGGCAATAGGCTCACCCCCTATTACATGGGACTCATAATATAAATACTGAAAAGTGGGTGTTACATTGTACAGTGGCATTAAGTGCCGAAATGTGCACCTCTGCCTACCCCTTCGGTGATAAAAAGGTGTGATGTTATGATGTTATGAAGCTAGTTAGATGCTTATTCCAATGTGTAGATTCCTATGTAGAAGAACGAGCAAGAAACTCCATAGGTTACTCTTTTTCAATCAGGTTTACAATAAAATTTTCTAATTACATAGTTTTGTTGGTTCGACTGTGTGAGAACAATGGAACACCTAAATGCAGTCATAGAGATTGAAAAAGAAAATAACCTTGAGGATACCATTAAATCCGTATTGCGTGGATATTTAATAATTAAATAGTTTATTCAATATCCACGCAATACGGATACAATGGGCGCTAGTGTTGCAACTCAAGAGTACGAAATTTCACAATACCAATGTCGATCGATCGGAATTGGTTTCAAGAGTAAGCCCCCAGGTCGTATCTCCACCAAGACTAATTCATCTATTCAAATTTCCAGGTTCATGGACCAGATCCCTATGGTTTTGGAGGTCTGCCACCCCAGTCGCAGATGCCAGATGTCAGCGCGGACTATGATGACGAGGACGCACAGGGCGATGACTTCGACATCCCAGCAGAAAAGGATGAGCTATAAAATTAAATTTGTATTATAAAAACACCAATCCTGCCTTTAATGTATATATAATATGTTTTAAAATATCATGTCCGATTTGTAAAATGTAGAATATACAATCGCCCCTTAAAGTGCAGATATCTTTATATATATAATAATTCTTCTGTGAGTGTGTATGTCACTGAACTTCTCTCAAACGACTGGACCGATTTTGATGAAATTTTTTTCTGAGTGTTCAAAGGGGATCTGGGAATGGTTTAGATTCACAAATCAGCCCGGCAGATGGCGCTGCAGTCGATGTTTAGGTTATTTATGGTAAACGGCTGAACTAATTTGAATGAATTTTTGTTTATACATTCAAGTGGATATGCAGGACAACGTCTGTCGGGTCCGCTAGTTTTATATAGAAACATATGAACTTTCTTGGATCACACTCTAAGAAAAAACCGCATCAAAATTCGTTGCGTAGTTTTAAAGATGTAGGCATACATAGGGACAAACAGACTTTGTTTTATACTATGTAGTGACTAGCTGCTGTGTAATATGCCACTGGTACTGTTCCCGGGTCGGGCAAAAAGTGCTTATAGACTCTTCTAATTAAAATTATTATTATTATTACATCTGATATCAGAAATTAGGTAGTATTGCCATTTATTGAAGAAAATGTCGATAATTTTAATATTTTTTGTAGAGTAATGATTGTAGGTATGCTGTCGATACCAATTGAGTTAATCAAAGTCTGAGCACTGCTATAATATATATATTGTTCCACACACACGGCGGGATACGGAGTCGCGGAGAACCTAACGGGTAACCGGGGCTCCGGCTCGACGTGCAGGAGAAGGAACGGGGTGGGTTTTAGTCAGTAAGAGTCTGACACTCCCTCCCGCCTTGATAAGTCATTCGATGATTTCTCCCCTTAAAAAAACACGTACAATCTTATACGGATTACATAAACGATTGCAAGTCCTATATCTTAAAAAGAAGTTAGGAAC